TTTCCCAAGGTTTTTTCTCCATTTCTGTCACCGATGGAGTTTTGGTTCCTTGCCACTGTCGCCTTTGGCTTGCTTAGTTGGAGACGCTTGACTGATTGCACAGACACTATTGGAAGAGAGCTGAACTGGATGATGACATCACTGAATCATCAATGAACTGACTTTAGCTGGAAAAATGACTGTTATCGTCTTCTTGCATTATTGACAATCTGTTTTCCTGTTTAACACTGTAAAGCTGCTTTGACACAATCAGTATTGTATAAATCGCTATACAAATAAAGGTGACTTGACTTGACTCAGCAAAACACTTGGTTCAAAAATACGTTTTCACACCTGACCAAAAGGCTAGAGGTTGCTTATATCCTAAACACTGCAAAGATGGTACAGGTACAGCCTGATGGGTGTGGGAAACTTGAGCAGACATACTGTGGATTTATGAGCTCATTTACTTCCTTTCCAAACTTTGCCTCAGTTTTTCCACTTAATGACTGCCGCTCGGTCAGCTTTACTCTTAGTCTACACATGGAAACTTTGACTCCTTCCATATGTGCAGGTACATGCATGATAGAGGGGTTCATAGTGCCTCACATTTTTGGAGGAATTTAAAACAAATATGACAGAAAGACCATGTGATGGAGTAGCAACACTCTCAGAAATAAAGGTACAAAAGCTGTCACTGGGGCGGTACCTTTTCAAAAGGTACACTTTTGTACCTATAGGTTTTAATATGTACACTTTAAGTACTAATATGTACCTTTAAGGTACCAAAATGGACCCTTTGGGTACAAATATGTACCATTTGAAAAGGTACCGCCCCAGTGACAGCTGTTGTACCTTTATTTCTGAGAGTGAATTAACAGCACAAATCACAAAGCAATATTCTCTGCTGTTATTTCACAACTTTACATTTTATCTGTATTGATACATATGAATTACCAAGCAATCTTACAGTTTGTGAACTTTTTTTTTCCTCAGTGTTTTTCCCCCTCAGTATGCATACTGTGTTCTAGTGTGTGATAAAAACATCAAAAAAGGAAGTTTAACCGCACATTTACGCTTATACTTCCTAGTGTTGATAAAAAAATTGCACGTTGACATTTACGCATGTTTACAGTATATTTTTCATCAACTGTAAGATACAAGCATGTAATTTCCTCTTTGACTCACATGAACATGCTAATTATAGTCTAAGTTATAAGAGCCTTTGTAGACATGCATGCCCTGAAGTATACAAAAGCAGTCCACATAGCATCCATATCCAAAATCAAATGTGAACCCCAATGAAATGTGCAAAAGCTGAAATGTAAATATCATGCCTTCTATTAGTGCCGCTAGTTCAGGTGAGGTTTCAAATGTTATTTCAATGTCCAGAGCCAAGCCATTATTAACTTTTTCACTAGAGTCAAGAATTTTACATTAAACAGAGACTCATTAGTGATGCTTTCATGCTGTAAAATGTAGATATCTGGGAACAGAGCCATGTTCCCTCAGGAGAAAAACACCATTTAAAAGTGGGCTTTGTGTACGCTTTTACTTACTCCTGCACATTCTATGTCAAGCACCTCCTGGTCCTCTTCACCGTCTCCTTGTCATGTAATAAATACTTTTACTTCACATTCAGAGACACTGATTTCTCAGATTCCCTCTGAAGTGATGCGAAAAGATCTTTGTGTTGATACCGGTTTTGTTCAGACACACATAGCCTCACATTTTACCAAACGAAGGCCAAACTGCAACTCTTCTCAATATGACAAAGCAATAATTTGTTCACATAGTTTGTTGCTAGCACGTTATTTGTTGCTAGCACATTATTTTAAGAGACAATTTTCCATGCCAACATGAACATTTTCAAACTGTGGATAAATCCCTGTCTCTTAGTCAAACGTAACTGGAAACCAGCTATTGCCCAATACGGGTTGTCTCATCTTGTCTATGACTGCTGACGGGCGAGGAAATATGATCCAGTGTCTATAATACAAGTCTAGTTCATTTCAAACCCTTTTGAAAACAAAACACTTTTTCCTCGTTTTTTCAGTTCCTGGCTGAAAAAGTTATACTTTGCTTCTTTACAATTTTGATTTCTTTTTAAGTCTCAGATAATCAACTCAAATAAATGAATAAAAAGTAAGCAAATACATTTTAATTTTTAAAGTCAGTTACCTGGAATTCTGTGGAAACTATATATAGTATTACACTTAATAGCTGTTAATGGTTTGCACAGCTGCTTATTTTATCACACGCCATGTTTTGCTTTCTCATTCCTATGTGGACATCTCAGATGTTAGTTCAGTCCCCACCTGCTTATCATATTGTCCTTCAATGGCAAGTCCTTGGCCAAATACCTTTTGCTATCCCTGGAAATTATTAACAGTGTTTAAAGGAAACAGCAGCAACAACCCCTGCATCAGCAACTCTGTGTCTGTCTATCTGTTTGTTTTTGTTTGTTATGTTCAACTACGCAAACGCTATCTATGTAAAACTATTACTTAACTGCTCTATGGTATTGTACATACCTTGTTTAACATCCTGTCATAGTCTTCAGTAATCATATCACTTACACAAGTACTTTATGTTCTATATTTCTATAGTACATGCAGATACTTTATCATCTGTCTCTTTCTTAACTTTCATTCATAGATTTTCTTTTATATAAAGCAACGTGACCTTAAAGGAGTAGTTCACTTTCAGAATGAAAATTCTGTCATCATTTACTCACCCTCCACTTGTTCCAAACCTGTATGAGTTTCTTTCTTCTGTTGAACACAAAAGAAGACATTTTGAAAAATGTTAGTATCCGAACAGTTGATGGGCACCATTGACTTCCATTGTATTTTTTTTTTCCTACTATGGAAGTCAATGGTGCCCATCAACTGTTAGAACTGTTAGTGAACTACTCCTTTAATTTATGTAGATATCCTATACGTGGTCAAATGTGGTCACTTACTTTATGTAGTGTAAAATAAAGTTGTTTTTTTGGCATTGAAAACAAATGAATGTGTCAGCAACAGAAATGTCCTTGAACAATATCAGAATGACAGCTAAAGAGCAGTAATATCGTGACATAATGTTAAGTTTGTTTGCCAAATGTCCAAATTTCAGTCTGTGTCCTGAGTGTTTACATTGAATTTGTGCCCAAAGTTGGACTAAAGACAGTTAAACAACTAGATATGGTGTACTTTCTCTTTATAGTTCCAACTCTACACAACAACATCTTAACATGCTCATGTATTTGCATGGATGTGAACACACCAGTTTCACGAACACACATACACACTCTACCAACTTGTTTTACCAACCAATTTGGTGCATTTCTTCTGTCCTATATTCTGCAAAAATGGGCATAGTAAATGACTGCTTTATCTGATGGGCGCAAAAATGGTTTATTTTACTCTTATCTTGGATCTGTCCTGTAGTCTTCTGAAAAACTGCGTTCTCATATGCTGTCTCTGCACTTGAGAAAATGGATCAATTTTATTCTTACTACCATTTTAAAACCTTTTAATTTGTGCAATAAAGTGCTTTTTTCCATTTGCCCTCATTAGGTAAGACATTTAGCTTCTCGCTCTAATCTTTTATTTTACAGTTTTGTGATACAAGCAAAGGCTATTTGTCTACATCAGGGTTTTATGTTCAAAATTAAAAAGTACATCATGTCCTCCTGCATAAATAACCTTGGGAGACAGGACTGATAATACGGATACAAAGGTCTAGTTTTCTGTCCAGTTGTATTGAAGCTGCACTGCTTTATCACGTCAATTACTGTCAAGCTAATTCATTTTGAGTAAACACTGCACTCTGAACAGCCTCAGTGGTCTGTCAGGGAACTGCTGCATTGACTAAGCAATGGACAGCTATCAGAGAACCACACAAACCAGACACAGGACGGATGCCAAATGTGCAGATAAGCACTATTAGATTTTTATGTTTCTTTCATATTTGATTTACATCTCAACATTTCCCGTAGCTCCATTTGCACACATCACAATGCGCAACAATCCGTGCAGGGAATGTAGGCTATATCTTGAGTAGAACAGTGGAACTAAATATAAGGCCTTACACATTGTTTGGACACTGATTTAGCTATATTAATTAGAAATTATATTAAAAGCTTCTTAATTCCAATAGTACCAGTGGTTTGGACTTCATACTGACACCTACTGGTATGGAGGCACAGCAAATGTTATCTTTATTTTATCAGTGTTATCTCCATCTCATAGCACTTACATCTATAAACATTATTTAGATTCAGTCCCAACATATTGTCATGTGTTCAGAACACAACCCAGCTCATCCTCAAACCTGGGTTACAATGAGTTAATAGCTCTTTAAGGGTGTTGCACCATATAGATTCAAACAGCTTTTTCTAGAAAACTGATATGACTTGAATCCTCATCTCATGTGAATGCATATCATTTTAACATTTCTTAAAAGTGTAAAAACTGACATTTATAACAAAACAACATTATATCAAACTCAAACCGGTATAACTATGGTTAGTGTAGCAAAACCATGGTTAATTTGTGGTTACCATGGTTTAACTATAGTAATTGTTTTTTTTTTTGTAGTAAAACCATGGTTAATTTGTGGTTACCATGGTTTAACTATAGTAAGTGTTTTTTTTTTTGTAGTAAAACCATGGTTAATTTTCGTATGGGGTCTGTGACACGAGTCCCCATGAGTCGGTGTGTATTCAGGTTTAAGTGTAGAAAAACGTACACACACAGAGAGAGAGAGAGAGAGAGAGATAGAGAGAGAGAGAGAGAGAGAGAGAGAGAGAGAGAGAGAGATTGACATCATTCCTCAGTGCCATACGGAGTTCTGCGTGTTAGTCACCCACACTCGAGCTGAGAACAAGGCGGTAAGTAGCCTACATTCTAATCGACTGGATGTGATCTTATACTAAACCAGTTTTAACTTAAACAAACCGAACTGAATATATCTTTACGAGAGAGAATGCGATGAGAGCAAGCGGTCTCAAATGAGTTAACGGAGTTGTGCTGCCGCCTCGAAGTTATGTTCTTTCTTTCGCTCTACTTCTTTTTTTAAACCCACACTTTTAGCTAATGCAATGCTAACCAGTCCTATTTTACTACTATACAACAGGTTGTTGTTATGAGATTTATTTCGAGTTGAACACGATGACACAAGTTTTCACCTAAAAGTTTAAATTTGAGCTGAACTTCTAGGGGAAACAGTTCGAACGGTTTGAGTCTTTGATAATTTACTCATGTTTGTTAAACTCAAGCTGTTACTTTACCTTCCTAAATTGTGCATTAGTGAACATTGAAATTGTGTGCGGTGGTTTTAAAAGTAAAAGATATTTGTAACTTTTTCATTTGAATGTAAACTATGGCTGTGTCTCAAAACTTTATGAGATTCTTACTTGGCTTTATGGCATGTAATCGGCGTTCAAGTGTTCGACCACTTACGCCCAAAAATGCTGTCTAGGTAGCTGACGAGGTTTTGACACACATCCCATGAGTGACTAAATAAATAAATGCCCTCTAGTGTGGATTAAAGGGGTCATATGATGCGATTTCAAGTTTTGTTTTCTCTCTGGAGTGTTACAAGCTCTTGGTGCATAAAGAAGATCTGTAAAGTTGCAAAGACGAAAGTCTCAAATCCAAAATGATATTCTTTATAAAAGTTAAGAGTCAACCACGCCTACCTAAAACGCCTCGTTCTAACACGCCCCCACATATCTATGTCACTATGTGGAAATATTAGCATAATGCCACCCAAATGTGCACGCAAAGAAAGAAGCCGTGGTTTCAGGAACAGCAGTGGTGTTGCCGCAGCCATGTCAGGGAGACGGTGTGTGTTTTAGTGCGAAAGCAAAAGCACTTTATTTGGCCTTCCGGAAGTAGATGCAATTAGGAATCATTGGTTAAGATTTATTTACAACAGAACAGCACAACACAGAGGTTCGAATTTGTGCAATGCATTTTATGGACGACAGTTTTTTGAACCTAGAAGAGTACAAGGCTGGCTGTGCACAAAGGCTATTTATTATCTTTAAAATAGCATCATATGACCCCTTTAACTTTCCGTTTGTGTCTAAATGAAGGGTTTCAGTTGAGTCAGTTCAGGTTGTGTTTCTTACCACAAGACGTTTACAGTTGCTACAAAATGTTTTGCTAATTCTTCCCAAATACACACATAGGTGGTTGAAATGAAGATAATTAAAAAAAAAAAAAGTTTACTAGACTACAGATATATCTAGGTTTGTATCAAAGTCACGTTTTGTGTTTGTTGCAGCTGTCAAAAACGTGCCATAGTAACATCGACTCCCCCAAACATGGTTACTGAAGAAAGCAGTAATAACAAACACAATGGAACCTGGGAAACCTGTGCAGTTTTACAACTTTCTTGGCAGCTTTAATTTCATGAGTAATTTGACATTTGTTTCTGTTTTTACTAGAGTTTTTCTGTCATATAATTTTAGACTAGCACAGCAGTGTAAAAGGGGTATATTTACTGTACAAAACTGGCAAACAATGGATCTTTACTGTAAAAATACAATGATCAAGCATTTTGGTGATTGTATAATTTACAGATCTTAAATTATGTATCATTATACAATGGGGGCTGTTGAATGCTTGAATCTGATTGGCTGATGAGCGTTCTAAGGTATACAATTAATTTCACGACTAAAGTAGTTCCAGGCAGGTCTTGACCGCATTACATGTCCGTATCACTTCGTCAAATGATTTCAGTTATTTCAAAGGTCCTTACAGCTTACAACAGCAAAAGAACCGAAACCCACACAACAACACTGACCAAGCAAATACATATAGTAAACAGGATAAAAACGACTAATTATATCCATGTTTTTGCCACAAATTTACATTCTATTATGTACGGAAAACACACACACTCGCACACACAGAAACACACGCGCACACAAATGTGTTGTTAGCGCTGCTCTGCCGATTTTATTAGTAAAATAGTTTAGCAACTTAAAAACTACATGACATTTCTCACTAGCATGGTAATAATGGCGTTGTTCCTGAAACAGAACAGGGCTGCCAACTTTTGAGTTCAACTTGGAGTGAGAATTTCCACGGTGGGATGGGTGTGGGTTTTGGTTGGGGTTTTGTGAAAGAAAAAAAGTAATTTTGTCTAATGTCTGGAGTGGACACACCTAGTAGTTAAGATCATGATGACTGGTACTGTGTTTTATCTTAAAATTATGTAAAATAACTGTTGCAGTGCTGCAAAAGTAATAACATTTCTTTGGTTGATTGGTCATTGCAATTTTTGAAAGTGAATCCAGCATTTATTTGAGGGATTCAGGATATTTCTACTGAGGTGGGGCCCTGAGTCAACATGCTGTTCAGGGGGCCCAGAAACCATGCTGCATGTACAGGGTATGTGGCCGTTGGTCCTGTTAGCAGCACGAAAATCAAAACTTTTATTCAAATTCTGAATGGAAAAAAACATGGTTACTATAGTTAAATCATGGTAACCACAAATTAACCATGGTTTTGCTACACTAACCATAGTTTAACCATGGTATTTGTAGTAAAACTGTGGCTATACAAATGGTAATCAATATGCCAAAAAAAAAGATTACTACACTTTTACTGTAATAAAACCATGGTTAATTTTTGTAAGGGTGTAGCCTAGAAAGCGAGCGAATTGTGCGAATTACATGAATCATTAAAAAGCTGTCACTCTCTTCAGTTCATCACAAACTCACAATGTTCTGTTATAATCAATGAAGCTCTCTAAACTGCACAATGAAACTCTTATTTACATCATGTCTACACTTTGTTTTGATGTTTAGAGGTGAGTGAATTCTGACTAACATGAACTCAATGGCCAATCACAGGTGTTCAAAAAAATCAAAAGATATGTCTGCGATTGGCTATATTGCTCAATGCTACAAAAACACGTTGTAATAGAAACTTTCTATGCTTTTTTGAGTGCAAACACAAATACGCACTGGACCCTCTGCCAAATATGTGACCCCTTCTGTGAAACCCGGCTAAATTCGCATTATCTAATGCTGAGATAAAGAGCGTCAAAGTTGTGTTAGCCATAAAAATGACGAAAATAGGTCATTTGTGTTTATTGCTGTAAATGATGGATAATATCAATGGATTCGAGATACAGTTCTCTAATTTTCATTTATAACATGATAAATGCTGAAATTAATGATTTTATCGACACTACATCTTATTATTTTGTGCAAAAAAATTCCGGAGGAAAGGCAAGAAAACTGCGACTTTAGCCAGTTTCCGATTTCTGTGTCATTTTTTTCGTGGCATCATCGAAATTTCAAGAACAGCCTTTTTTTTGTTACTTAATACTCTGCCAAGATAACCCGCTTATTTTAAGGTCATTTTATGCCTGATACGTGTCGAAATAATTCGGTCTTTTGATGCTGATCATGACGCTGATGCTTCGGGTTGATGAATTCCTATCTGACATGAAGCGCGATGCTGTGAACGAGTGCATCGATCCGGGAAAAAAAACAAAAACAAAAGAATAGTTTAGATGTTTAAAAAATATATTTAAATAGGCATATAATACATATTATTACTGTTTTATTGTAGGCTAAAATAACTCTTATTATGTATTAATAAAAAGCTTTGTATGTCCTACGGAAGCAAAGCACTTGCGTCTGATGTTTCGGTTTTGTTTTTTAGAAAAAGAATATGCATGAATGAAAAAATAAAGTGTAGGACGTGCTTGATGTTAGTTATTAATCGTAATAAGACACATAAAAAAAAGATCTCAATGCGTTATTCTCACTGACTGACACTGACCTGAAGCGCGCACAGAAAGACGCGTATTACAGAATTACTGTATTTTAAAACATCTGTCTTGGCGTGTTTACGCACACATAGTCCGTTATGTCTTAATTGAACATTTGGAGAACAGTTGAGGAAAACATCTGATGTGTAACAAATATTAGATCTGTGCAATATAAACCTGCTGCCATCTGTGTCATTAATATTAATCATAAAAGAAAATAAAAGGAATCGCTCACTCACTGCTCTTGAGTGAATAATTTTTGTAGCTCTAACAATATTCATTTTGTAATGAATACATACAATGAAGACTATGCAGTGATTATTTTTACATTTGATTATTCAATTTCTGTTTTTCTTTAATTTTTTGTGTCGTGCCGGATTTCTTCCAAATTTTGCACAATAGCCCAAAGACATGAATTAGATTAAATTTATTTTTATAAATTAAATTAAATTTAAATTTTATATATGAATTTATATATTAATAACATTTTCTACTTTATTTCATTTTACAAATAAAATAAAAGTAGACCTTATATGAATCATTTCAGTGAATTGACTTGTAATTGTTGCTACAATCAAGCTCTTATGGTTCCCCCCATTCGTTTCAATGTTTTTTGTGCTTTTTGGACATAAATAGACCTGTTTTACAAAACTATAAGAATTTTCCCATAAATGTGTCATATGTCACTGAAAATGGGAGAATCTCAGCTATATTATATTATATTATATGTACATTTTGCATTACAAGCAGCTTGTGATGGGATGAAGAACCTTAATTAAAATATTTTAAATCTTATTGTTCTCAAAACACATAGCAAGGCACAAAAATTTCATACGCCAACTTTGGTCAATGTAAACTGTCTAATATTATCACCACCCCAGGTGTGCATTATTTTCGAATAATTCAATGGCCCGTCGTCAATTATTCCTTGCTTAAATTATATAGTGTTGGACAGCAGTAAATGCTACCTAATAAAATGCTAATTAAATATAAAATTGAATTGCAATGTACATAGCAGATAACAAAAATAACTCTTTAAAATAATAAAATCTATAAACGTCCATTTTCCAGTCATCTTTAACCAGAACCTATAAA